TTTATAATTTGTACAATTAACCTCCCTGTGGTTCGACCCCGGTCTTGCCGGGTTATTTATTACTTCGACACTCCTACACTTGGGAGAAGTCATCAACCTTTTAGTCGTGTCATTGTTCTTTAAGAAAGTCTCTTTTTTTTTTTTATCTTTGATGTTTAATTTTCCATCTAATCCTAAATTTGTTTTGTTGAGTTATTCTTTAAGAAAGTCCTTTTGTATTGATATTTCATGTTTAATTTTCCATTCAAAATAGTTTTTGGTGTTAAACTTTTATCTTTACATATTTCATTTAAATTCTATTATACCTAATCCTTTCAAATTTCATTTCTTTTTCCTTTTCTTCCTAAATTTCTTTGATGTTTTTCTTTGTCTTTGTTATTTTTAATTTGGTAGTTTAAACTCTATAATTTGATTCATTTTGATTGATTTTTTATAGTTTAATAAAAAATAAAGAGGGGAGTTAAGAGTGGTAAAAGGCAAGATGTGTGAGAATAACAACAAGAAAAACCAAGTGAAGAATAAAACACGAGTGAAGTGACATATCTTTGAGTGTAAACATATAGAACATATTGAATAGTAACATCTTTTTTAGATTTGAATATGTCTTCCAAAATCACATCATCACCTAAAGAGAAGGATAACATGTTCTTTGTGTTACAGGAAATGCAACAATAGTTTAAGTGCATGAATATGATGTTTGATGATATAAAAGATTGAATAGATATAAAAGATATTACAATTGTTAATCTATAAAAGGGACAATCCCACAGGGTCTCTAACACCATAAGGCAAAAAAAACATACTTGTATACTCGTAGATGAGTTTGATGTTGAAAATAAAGATGGAGTTGTGGATATATTTTATCAAGCATTATTTGGCAACAAATAAAGTATTTTACCAAACTATGATAAATATGACAAAAGGTTTAAAAAAGATGTTAGAAGCTATAATTATATTGATAAAAACCTTGAAAGTATTACAATAAAGATTTCTTCTTTTTTTTTTAAAAAAAAAAGAATGATCTAGAAGCTTACCTGGTGTGGTACAAGAAAGTAGAAATGATCTTTGATTTCCATGTCTATTATTGAGAGAAAAAGGTTAAGTTAGTCGTGATAGAGTTTATTAATTATGCATTTATATGGTAGGACCAACTTGTATTAAATGTGATGAAAAATTATAAGAAGCCTATTAAATTTTAGGATGAAGCAAATTCTATTATAAGAAGAATATTTATCCATGTCCTCTATTATAGGGACCTATATCAAAAGCTGCAAGGCTTTATTGAATGTTCCAAGAGTGTAAAGAATTATCATAAATAAATAGAGGTAGTTATAATTCATACAAATATAAGAAAGAAATAGAAGCTATCGTTGTAAGATTTTGAATGATTTAAATTGTGAGATGGAAAATGTTAAAGAATTATAACAATATAAAGAATTAAAAGACACTATGCATATAATTATTAAAGTAAACTGACAACTTAAGAGAAAAAAAAATAAAGTTAAGTAAAAAAAATTGATTCATTTATGTTATAGAAACCAAATTGGAAGAAGGATGATAAAGCTACTCGAAAGAGTAAATTTGAAATACTTAAAGGCAATAAAAAAGTCTATATTGATATTATAGGTAAATCTAAATCACAATTACCTTGTAATCATGATATTATATATTTTCATAACTTAAGATTAAGTCGCATAGCTTCTCAATATCTAGGTAAAAAAGTTATAATCTTGCATGACCATAAAGAGGTGGAAACTGTAGGTGATAGTGATGTTGAAAAGATGTTATCACTTGAGGATGCTAATGATAATGAGGTAGAGTATCTAGTTAAATGTAAGTAATTTATGTAGAGGCTTGTAATAAGTGCTTAAATCAAATAGGATGAATTAGAGTAGCAAATGGAAAATACTTTTCATATTGGATGCCGCATCAATAATAAAGCCTGTAGTATGATTATAGATGAGGGAGTTATGCTAATATAGCTAGTAATACTTTTATGAAAATATTGAATTTGTTTATTATAAAATATTATAGACTATATAAGCTATAATGGTTGAATAAACATGATAAAGTAAAGGTGAATAAACATGCGTTAGTTTCCTTTTCAATTAGGAGGTATAATGATGATGTACTTTACAAATAGGTAATTTGGTTATATTATGGTAATTTGATGAGAATTCTATTCTTATAGGTTCAAGAATGAGTACTCTTTTGTATAAGATAATAAATTTATTATCCTAGTACCTTTAACCTAAAAACAAGTATATGATGAAGATCAATTAAAATTAAAAAGAGAGATTGAGACCAAAAATAGTGAAAAGAAAGAGGTGGTTGAGATGACTAAAAACAAATATGATCAAGATAAGAGAAAATATGAAACGACCATATAAGAAGAAAGCAAAAGAGGTTATAGGAGAAAAACAAAGAATCAAGTGCGTTTTTGTGCAAAAGAGAGTCATGTCAATAGTGTTTTTTATACTAACCGGTTTATGTTTGTATTTTAATAGAAAAGGACATGTTTCAATACTAATGATATTGATTTATCCTTTCCTAGAATTGTTGTTCATTTGTTGTAAAAATATAAAAATATATTCCCTGATAATGTTCATAGTGGTTTACAACTAATCATGGGAATAAAATATAAATTTGATATCATACATGGAGTTATAATTCCCAACCAACTAACTTATAGAAGTGATCCGATAGATACAAATAGATAATAGATAAGAGGTATGTGAGGGAGAACATGAGTCCATGTATGGTACTAGCATTTCTTGTGCTGACAAAATGAGTCTTAAAGGATGCGCGTGAATTATTAGGCTATCAACAACATTATTGTAAAGTATAAACATCTGATTCATAAGCTAAATGATATGTTAGATAAATTGCATGGTTTTTATAACTTCATAAAAAATAATTTAAAAAATGATTATCATCAAATTATAATGACAAAAGAGAGATGAATGAAAAACTACTTTTAAGATTAAACATGAGTTATATGCATGGTTAGTTATGCTATTTGGTCTCATTAATGCACCAAACATATTTACAAGATTGATGAATAGTGTATTACGTGAATTTTATAAGCAAATTTGTTGTTATATATTTTAATGATATATTATAATGAAAGCTTTAAAGAGCATATTAGCCATTTGTGATGTATGCGAGAAATGAAAAATTGTAGAGCATATTAGCCATTTGTGATGTATGCTTGATGTCTTGAGAAATGAAAAATTATATGCTAACTTAAAGAAATGTACTTAATGCATGGATAAATTTGTTTTAATTTGTTACAATGTTAATAAAAAAAGTATTGGGATAGATGAAGAAATGGTAAAGAAACTCAATAAGAGTGTTCAACAATAAATAAAAAGAGAAAAATAAACAACATACTACTAAAACTAACAAAGGTCGTTCATATGTTATCTTTGAACTCGAGGATTGGGTTTGGGTGTATATAAAAAAGGAAAGATTTTCAACTCTTTGGCGATCTAAGTTGAAGTCCAAAGAAGATGGTTCATTCCAAGTTCTTGAACGAATTAACAAGAAGGCTTATAAATTGGAACTTTCATATAAGTATAATGTTAGTACTATATTTAATGTTTATGATCTTTCTCCTTTTAATATAGGTGACAAATTAAGGTTTAAATCTTTTAAGGAAAGAAGAAATATTAGAATCAATAAGTAAAATCACAAGATTCATTGTTTATGCTGATTAGACCAATTGTAAGGATAATAACCAAGATGATAAAAAAAAGCATTTCATGACATTTAGGTTGATTAAGGTTTAAATCTTTTAAGGAAAGAAGGAATATGAGAATCAATAAGCAACATCACAAGATTTATTGTTTATGCTGATTAGACCAATTGCAAGGGTAATAACCAAGATGATAAAAAAAGCATTTCATGACATTTAGGTTAAGCAAGTTTCAAGAATTCATACATAACTTTATGTTAATAATTATAACTTTAAATATAACTATGCAATCGAGTTGAAATTTTAGTACAAGGTTTTAAAGAATATATATTTTTATAGAATTAAAATTTTATAGTAATTAAACATCAATGAGACCTTTTAATAAGGTTTATAAGTTATTGAGCTTTTTATTATATAAAACTTAAATTTTATAATTTATTTTACCTATATTTTTATGGAGATAATTATTTAGATTTAACTCTAAACACATAATTAATTAAGATTACATTTTGGATAAAAAATTAATTTTTATTTAAATTAAAATTGTGCAAGCCATACTACTTTTAGTTTTTCTTTAATCTTTTTAGAACTTATCAAGAAAATCACATTTATTACATTTTAACTATATATTTTTGGTTCTTGATTCATATAATCAATAAGTCATGATTTATTTATCTAATTTTAATTTTTTTTAAATAATTATCCCAGTTTTAATTCTAAGTTGCAGGCTTTGTACTCAAGTGACTTTTTAGCTATTATTATTTATAATAATTAAATAAGGGTATGAAATTAATTGTGAGAAATTGATTGTGAGTGAGAGATTGGTGAATTATTTTATATGGAATTAAAGATGAGTGAAAAAAAAGAGAGAGAAAGTGATGAATACTTTTTTTATGATAAAAATATAATATTTAATATAAGTGTAAGCGAGAATATAGTGAGTGAGAATATGTCATTTAGTTATTAAATAAAATATAATAATTATTTTGTAAATTATATGATTTTTGTATTGATTTTTTACATGTCAGTGAGAATTATTTAATTTATAAATTTCAGAATATAAAATAAAATTTTTAAATAAAAAAATAAATAAAAAGGTGGATGTAAATTACACTATTTCTAATATCAATTAGTAATTTTATCTATATTTTATCATTCTTTTTACTGTAATATTTTTTTTTGTTTTTATCATTCTTTTTACTGTAATATTTTATTTTTTTTTCAAAATACGATTCTATTTTTTATCCTTTTGCAAGTTGACGAGTCCAGCTCCAACGCCACCTCGTCTATTCCCATTGCTTTCCAGCTCCCCCTCTCTATATCTATCTGCTTCTTCTCTATTAGGGTTTGCGCTCACCCAAAAACCAGATTGTCTCCTCCTCCTCGTCCTCCTTCACAGGTTTAAAGTTGAAAATCTATTTCCTTTTCTGGCTGAATGTTGTTTTTCTTATTTGCTTAGCTTTAGATCTACAAATATATGTACGTACTCATGAGTTTGAATGGATTTGGGTTTCAAACTGACAGTATAATTTTCTGAAAACAAAACATGCAGTTAAGATAAAGAGAGATCATGTCAGAAGAGTTAGAGTACCGCTGTTTTATTGGCGGCCTTTCATGGTCTACTTCTGATAGAGGTTTAAAGGAGACTTTTGAAAAGTTTGGCCATCTTCTTGAAGCTAAGGTAATCTTTTTTCTTATTAATTACTCCTTGAGAAAATTCCTAGCTGTTTCTTTGTAGCCGTGCTCTCTTTGTGCAAAAAAATAAAAACAAAAATCCTCTATCCTCGGAGAGGATGATGCTGAAATTGATGAGTTATTAACTAATTGCCCGACTCATGGTAACTAGTAAAATCCCTTTTGGTGTTATCTCTTCACATATGCGTTTTTCTCTTCCATGGTTTAGGTAGTGGTTGATAAGTTCAGTGGACGCTCTCGTGGATTTGGGTTTGTCACTTTTGATGAGAAGAAAGCAATGGAAGATGCCATTGAAGGGATGAATGGAATGGATTTAGATGGCCGAACCATCACTGTTGATAAAGCCCAGCCTCAGCAAGGTTCAAGTAGGGATCTTGATGGTGATCGCAGCCGTGATAGGGATCGTGACCGTGGGCATGATCGTGATAGGAATCGTGACTATGGAGGTGGTGGGCGTGGATCTAACAGTGGAGAGTGCTTTAAGTGTGGCAAGCCTGGGCATTTTGCTAGGGAGTGTCCAAGTGAAGGGGCAAGAGGTGGCAGGTATGGTGGCAGAGATGAGAGGTATTCTGGTGGCGGCGGCAGTGGTGGTGGCAGTCGCTATGGCCCTGATCGGAATGGAGATCGATCTGGTGGGCGTAACAGGGATGGTGGTAGTCGTGGAGGTCCTGGAGGTGATCGATATAATCGTGACCGTTCAGGACCCTATGAGCGTCGTACTTCAGGGTTTCGTTCAGGATAGAATGACTTCATACTTAGGTATGATACTTGGTAATTGGTTGTCTTCTTTTGCACAGTTAGCATGGCAGTAATGGAATATGTGTCCTCTTGCAGGTGATGAGCTGGTGGTGTTGCTGTTACTGCTTGCAAAGTGTTTAAGTTAATTATCAAAGATGTGCTGTCTCTGTCATTGTCTTGCTGGATAAATCTAGTAGATCAGTTTTATCAGGCGTGGATGTTCGACTGTTTTTGTGTTCCTAAAATGCTGACTTCTGTCTCTTGGTTTAATGGACCTTATGCTTGCTTGTCATGCACATTTTAGTTGGGTTTAATTCTCTTTGAATGCCACTATTGCTTCTGAGTTTCCTTATTTTATACGTAAGCTCTTGTGAAACCATTGCCCAATTTTTCGTTGATTTTTTGTACAGGAAATTCAAGTACTGAAGATAGTTTCATGTCAAATTAGCATTTGGAGAGTACTGATGATGTGGGTTCTACTATTGGGGTCTGCTTCTTGTCACTTCGGGATTAGTTGCTGTTTTAAATGGAAATGACTGTTTGGTTACCCTGTTTTCATATCTTATTATACAAGAGAGAGGGTAATCTCTTTTTTTTTTCTTGCACTAGTTGCCAGCTAGTTCTCAATTTACGGAGTGTGCTTTATTAATATTTTCAACATTTTGGCAGGATACATGGCTATTTATGGTTCTTTGGGATACATGATTGGGTGTCTTTGTTGCTAACTGGACAGAATTTTTTAACTTTATGTTAGAGTCTCTTTTGGGATGCGGCAAGTGATCTAGAGTTTAACTAGTTTTCATGTTCTGCATGGCATATTGGTCCAAGGGTTCGATTCTCCATACACGTGTGGCATTTTGTTTGGAAGCTCTTGATCAATTGAAACAGCTGTCCAGTGTTTTTGTTAACTTCCTAAACCTCATATTGTTCTTCGATGGAGGGTTCTTATTCTCACATTGTTTCTGCACCTGCTTGCAATGTCTTGGTTTTCTTTGCTGGAATCCAGAAAGTTGGCAAATATCTTTCAGGTCAGGTTGGGGTTCCTGAATTCTTTTTCTTTGCTTTGAGGGTGGGAGCATCATCAGGTTCTCTATTGGAGAATTCTTCCTGTTTCCCTTGTCCTTTGTGAAGCTGTCAGGAAAATTATTTTCTGGGTTTGTTCTTTGTATATTCTGAAGGTGATTGATTAATCAACCTTCTGTTCTTAAAGCAATTTGACCTGATGTTAGAGCCTAAGGCGCTCATGCCCATTGCACATAGTGTTTTGCATGCCTAAGCTTCGCTTTTTTCTCTTGGTGAGTTTTCTGTGCTTGTCTTTCACTATTTACTTGCAAGATGGCCTTGCTTTGCTATGGCTATCAAAAAAATTTATTACCATGCCATATGTAAAGGTTTGTAATTTGTATTATATTTAAAGAATGTGGTGATGAAGCATGCTAAACAAAATAGTCACCTGTAAATCATGTTAAATTGATTTCAAAATTCAATGATCTTTGTCCACATCTACCTCAATTTACTAGTTTCTTTTACCTGATGGTTTTAGGGCATGTTTGGAAACGCTTTATGATTTTTTAAAAATTGATCTTTGTTTTTGTGGTTTAAAATTAATTTTCTTTTATGTCTTTAGATTATTTTGATATACTGTAAGCCATGGACTGATGTCAAAAAATAATATTTTAAAAATAAAAATAGTGTTTTCATGAATTTATTAGAAGAAATCATTTTGAATCGGAATTGCCATAATATTTTCGAACATTGCTCTTAATGTTTGAACCATGTTTGAATTTGAGGAAGGAAGAAGCAGATCTTTTTGATGTTAAGGTTGTTTCTTTTTTCATGAACATTTTTTCATGCATGAATGTAATGGACATGATCATTGAGTCTTTTTTTGTTCTATAATGCGGTTTCTACTCTTGTTTTTGCCTCCTTGGTGATCGCTTTCTTTGGGGCAAACCTCTCCCCTTAAAATATAGTGTTAATTATAATACCTTGCAGCTAATTTTACAGCATCATCATTATTGAGAAATCATATAATGGCTGTTTTCATTATTTGAAAAGTCGAGTCTTTTGTACTAGTAATCAGTAATTTAGCAGAAATGTTCCTTGAAACGTGATGCATGATGAAAGAAAATAATAGTATAAAAGGACCATTAACCAGCTACTTTGTTATTGATGAGGGTGGATGGTGACTTCGTATGATCTATACAATTTTTGTAACCTTGCATCTTCCGACCCCCATTAGCAAATTTTCTATCAAGGATCATATTCTTTGTTTGTTTCCTTTTTTATTTAATGTTGATTACGTTCTTCACCAAGACCTTGATGCTATGAAATACCACGGAATTGGTACAATGGCTATTGGTTATTAGCCAGTTTAAATATAAATATGGTTGTTTTTTAAAGTGTTTAAATGTATTAAAATAATATTTTTTATATTTTTAAAATTAGCATATTAAAACAATTCAAAATATGAAAAATATTTTATTTTTAATAAAAAAATTAAATTTTTTAAAAGCACCCGTTTTTAATAAAAAAATTAAAATTTTTAAAAGCACCCATTATGTTCTCCAATAGCTTCTACAGAGAACAAAAATGCATACTTATTAAGTGACAGTTAGGTATTGCGTACTTATTAAGTGACAGTTAGGTATTCTAGTTATGGGTAAGGTTTACTCATGATCACATATATTATTATTTGGTTAAACAAAAAATATAATTTTAGTTTGGTAGGACCTATTATAAACTATGGCTGTGTTACAAGTTTACCGAAAGCATAAGAAGCAGTTCTTTGTTGCTTCTTGTGCAGAGAAAGCATACGAACAGTGTAGCCATGCCATGCTCTACTATTTATATAAACAGTGGAGCATGGCTATACTAATTACAGTTAAGATATTTTTTTACTGTTTTGATCGATGCAGATTTGATTTAAAATATTTAATTTGATTTAAAGCTAAAAATATACTGAATAGGATTTGATTTAGTAAAATAATAATAAAATTATTTTTTATTTTTAATTGTGTTTTACTTAAAAAAAGCTAGTGTTGACACATCATTCAAATGATGCTACATAACTTAGATAGAAATTGCTTGATGATGTAATATTTATAGAATTTGATCACAATTTTAATTTTATTCTTGATTATATTTTACTTGATGTTGTTGTGCACTTAAAAAACTAAAAAAACTATAATTCTTGTTGGATTGATTTCGTGATGAAGTTATAAAAAAACTATAATTCTTGTTGGATTGATTTCGTGATGAAGTTATAAAAAAACTATAATTCTTGTTGGATTGATTTCGTGATGAAGTTATAGATAATTTAATGAAATAATAAAAAATATTTTATATAAAGTATTATTTATTTCATGAAGTAGCATAAATAGATAAAATCTATAATATTTAAATTAAAAATTATCAATATTAATATATATTTTTTTAAATTATTTTATAATTTTAATTTTAAAAGCATTTTTAACCAAATATGTTAAATTATTTTTTGTTAAATCTCAATTTCAACTATAGTTTTAACTAAACATACATAAATATTAAATCAACTTCAACTAACAATATTTTTATAAAATATTTTTTTTTAATTTATAACCACAAAACTTTCACAATATCAGATAGATTTAAATTTGGCTTCATGGGTGGAGCTTGAGCCTGACTTATAAAATTAAAATAATATTATTTTAAAAAGATAAATAGATTTAGTTGCTTTATTTTAATTTTAAAAGCATTTTTAACCAAATATGTTA